TATTATGAGCTACCATACAGTTTTGTTTGGGAACTTTTCTGCTAATGGATTACTTTGATAGTCTGCAATGACATACAGTAATTATAGTGCATTTTATGTGTAAGTTAATTGTAAACATCATTCAAAGTAAAAGGTAAAAGTACATTTTTCATAGATGAAAAGTGTTCATGTACAAGAACTACTCAAAAATCTCAAAGTTAAGAAAACTCGATAGTAAATAATACAAACAAAACATAGGAAGTATACAAACAAAATATTTCAGTATTGACAATGGTGATAAGCAAATCATCTAAAATTAAACTTGAATTGAATTTGCTAAATTTACCAAAATCAAACTGCATTGAAATCCTTGAGGGACCATTTTTCATGTTCACCGTTTTTCCTTTGAGGGGTTTCTAGGCAAGCTATTGTAACCCAAATAACTACAGGAGCAGGAAAAGCTGTTGGAGAACTTTGCAAATGCTAAAATAAAAATAAAAAGTTAAAGTGGGGTAAGAGCCTTTTCATATGACTTTGGTACATGAAAAATACACAAATCACAAGTACAGATTGTGGGGATGTCCTAAAATGAAAATGTGACCTGACTATGCACCATAAAGTATTAACAAATTTTATATTTTATGTTGCTGTATTAACAAACACTTTAAAACAAGCCACCTCAGAAGCTATAGAACTTTTTATTGCATCTAAATCTTGGTAAACTGCCAAAAATCTAATCACACAGCTTTTAGAAATTGACTGAAACCCAATAATTTAATGTAAATAGCCTGGATGGTAACCCTTTTACCAAAGCCAAAGTAACCTGTCGGTCCTGGGTGATGTCATTGACCAAATACGAAACAGCATCCTTTTCTGGTTTGTTGCTATTCAGCAACCAGTTGGAGAAATGTAATTTGCAACAGTTGTATAGCATTGACAGATGTATCCTCAGTGACTTGAGCCATCATGTCCACAGTCATAAGGGCATTACTTATCATGATTTATATTGGATTTGCTTCGCTGGATGAGGTGCATGATATTGGATTTACATTGGACATGTGGTATGGTTCAGGAATGGGGGGAGGTTGCATGCTTGCTGCTCCCCTTTTCTTGGCCACCCAGGCTGCATACTGTCAAAAGGGTCTGCTGTGGATATTGAGGGAGACCTCGTGTAAAACAAGACAAAAAAAAAACAATGGGGTCATTCTCAAATTCCATACCAGACACTTTGGTCAGAACAGGAGGTGCAGTGTACGGACACCCCACTCACCCAAAATCATTAGGAGCCATATGCTCTCAACATTGAGATAGTACCCATGTTGATGCAGAAAAGGATATCACCCCACATTTCCTGGCCAAGTGCATGTGGAAAGGAACTTATAAGAATGTTAAAGCCCCCTTTAAACTGAGCCCTCCTATGCAAATGAGTATGAGTACCTTGTAACCCTTATTACTTTTCCACAAAAAAAGTTAAAGAGCAAATAAAAAATAGTCCTTTCATACAAAAAAAAAAATACAGTAAATCTTATCCCCCAATGTAAATTGAATGTCAATAATATCATCCAGAGATATAGATCTATCCTCAATCCTCAATGAGCAATGCCCCTACGACTCACAGATTACCAGCGCCACAACAAGCCTATGCTGTCCCTACTGCCACCACAAATGACAGTTTCCTGGCCAGTTGCTAAATGTCAACAAACTGACTGGCATTGCTGGCCAATATAAAAATGTATAAACAAACTGATGGGGATCAGGGCGTTGTTATTTAGGGGTGATAGTGATACTGGCGCTAAATGAATGATGTCCAGTTGCGGCAGCAGGAGGTTCAAGAGGGTGATATGGCCAAATCTGGCCATTTGCCTGTTCTGCAAACTGTGAACAGCTTGGGTTCATGTTGAATTCATGGTTGACTCAAACCCTAATTGTCAGCATGTGTTGAATCTGGTTAAGAAAAACTGAGAAAAAATTTGTAAGGAGAGGTTAAGGAAAGATACAGTGCTAAAGTGCAATACAGTGCTATACTATGCTATACTGTGCTATACAGCAATATAGTGTGTTATACTGTGGATTACAGTGGGGTTGGCCACATACCCTTGTGTGTCCTTCCATGTTCACAGTTCCACTGATTTAACTGTCATTCCTGTCATGCAGGACCTAGCAGTCTTAGAGCTGCACAAACTGAAGGTACAACCCATGTGCCTTTTTTTTCCAAAAATGGACAACCAATACAGTCACAGCATATCGAGCAGATAGTTGACTGCCTTACAAAATTTCTACACCCATATCTTCCCAGGTAGCAGAGTAGCCAGGTAACTTTCAATGTTACTAATGCCCTCTCTTCCCCCTCTACTTCTGCTAATCCTGTAAAGCCCCCCCAGACTCATATTTGCCTCAAGTGTGGGATCCTTCCCTGTTTGTGGCTGCATTCTTCCTGGGATCATAGCTTATCACCAAGGGTGTGGTGACTTAAAGGGCTGGCAGATGTGTGTCTCAACATTTGAGAAACACATCCATACACAAGCACCCCCCACCACCACCCACCATTGCCTCCCAGAATTTAAACAGTGATTTCCAGTGCTCCTCTGTGCCAGTTGTTCCTCCTGTAATCTCCAGTGCGCCCCTGAGTATCCTGTTCTCTAACCTGTATCCTGTGTACCTGCAACATAGGATACTCCAGCCTGAAGGTTGCTATTGTGACCCCTTTGCACTTCAGCCTACATCCTGCTCCAATGATCCTGTGCACTTCCCTGCTCCAGTGACCCAGTGTAGCTCAGCATGAATCCTTCTTCTATGACTCTATGTACATCAGCCTGCATCATACTTGCCTGTGACCCCCACATTTCCAGTCTGAATCCAGGGTCTCCAATTGACCATGTGCACTTCAGTCAGTTTTTTGTGTTCCTCTGTGATCTCCTGAGACAGGTGAAACTTTCCTTCCCATATTCTGTTGTCTACAGCACTCCACTTGCTGAGGACTGTAATCAATCCTGCTTCCATGGTTCATGGGCCACTTGAACCATGGAAGGAGATTCTTGCCTGCATACTAGAACTCCTGGGAGTCATCAGCCAGCTAGCACTGCAATGTGGCCCTCTTTTTCTGTCTGCTGCTGGCAATAGTCTTGTGATCTGAAACCTCTGCTGGATGTATTTCCATCACAGAAAGCCTAACACCTCTTTGGGTACTCTTGTTATACATTAGCACAACAGCAACACAAAAATCAATGGGAGCAGCAGCTAACCAAGACATGGTAGACTTATTATGTTTAACTTCACTAATTTCTGTTCGCAAAAAAATCTACAACTGATCCCATGCAAACTGTTTGAAACAGATCACTTTTGCCGGTTCATGACCTTTGCTGCCCCTGAGTGACAGGTACACAGCTGCCATTATTTTAACAGAAGTCCCTGCTCTCTACTTTGACAAAGAGGTAAACAAATCTCTGTTGCTGGATCATGCCATTGGTGCCACAGTTTCCTGGTCCAGTAAGCATGGACAGCAATGGAATATATCAATCACCACACACTGGGTTAACCTTAAGGTGTCCGGGAATTTGATACGGGCAGCATGGGCCATACCACTCAACCTAGTGGCCTGTTTGTATGCCAGGAGAAGAGAAGCCACATCGAGTAAGAGTTACTGTAATTTCTCCAGACCCAGGCTGAGGAGTGGCTTTCCCCACACCAGCTGAAATGTAGCAAGGTCATGTATGAAAAAAGCACAGACCAACTATCCCCCTTCACCTGGGGAACATCCCATACAGTGTGTGCCTTGCCTGGACCATTTTTTAAACCACTTAGTGCAGTGCTTCCTATCAAAACCCCATGGAATCCAAGGACTGTTGGGTCTATTCACTGTGAATACAATAGATGCTACAAACCACAGTGCAAGTCACAGTGATGGAGCTCTGAACAACACAGAGAATATGGAAGGAGGGTAGTCGGGTACACTGAACCTTATGGCCACCGACTATTTTGGTTCCAATGCTGATATTGAAATTCTAAAAAGTGAGAAGGACCAGATGTATGATGATCTATTGGGTGTCCACGATAGAACACTGGTCAGAGTTTAACCAATATGCTCTGGAGGTAGTGGTCTGCCTTGCTGTAAGTGAAGTCTGAGAAGCCCCTCAGAACTAGAGGAAGACTTGTCACAGAAAAGCACTTCAACGTATCTTCAGACAGCATCAACCAGCTGCCTTTTATAAAAAAAATACATAAGGCCTCGATTACAAGAGACCTGTTTAAAAAAAAATGTAATTGGAATGTTTCTTAAATTTCAGTAGAATTGCTGCCAGAATGACCATCTTCTGGTACCTCTCCTCTTTCTTTTCCTTCTGATTGTAAGAAAAGTCCAAACTACAAAGCTTTCAGTGTAGTAAAACTGCTGCTATTTGTGTCTGAATCTGAGGCCTGTTCAGGATAAAAGTGTTTTGTCTTGTTCATTTTATTTTTAAGGCCTTTTTGAAATAAAATTTTGTTCTTCAAATAAACCAAAAACGAGAGCATACTGCTAATAACAGTAGTTACAATAGAGTTATTGTTAAAGCATGTATAGAAAAATCTCTTTGATGACTAAAAACTAATAATGTTCCTGAACCATTTGAAAAGTAAAATTGTTAATCCATCCATGGTTTAAAGATAATAAATCACATAGCAAAAATATATGCTTATTCACTTGTAGACAAAGACTGCTGATCACAGTAGTACTGTTGGCAGCAGAGATATTAAAAAAGGCCCAAACTGCTGAGTTCAGATCAAGCTGGGAGATAACTCTGCCTTCTCTGCATGTTTTTCAGTGCCCCCAGATGCCATTAGTAGACGGAGGAAGAGGAGGGTTAACATGCTGGAGGGGAGAATGAAAAAGAAGCTGAACAAGCCTTCACAAGACTTTTCAATCTTCCTGAAATCTAGGCAATATACATACACTATATTGCCAAAAGCACTGGGACATCCCTCCAAATCATTGGATTCAGGTGTTTCAATCACCTCCATGGCCACAGGTATATAAAATCAAACACCTAAGTATGCAGACTGCTTCTACAAACATTTGTGAAAGAATGGATCGCTTTCAGGAGCTCAGTGAATTCAAGCGTGGTACCGTGATAGGTTGCCACCTGTGCAATAAATCCATCCTTGAAATTTCCTTGTTACTAAAAATTCCACGATCAACTGTTGGTGGTATTTGAACAAAGTGGAAGCAACTGGGAATAACAGCAACTCAAAGTGGTAGGCCACATATAATGATAGAGCAGGGTCGTCAACTCTCTGCAGAGTCATTAGCTAAAGACCTTCAACCTTCATGAGGCCTTCAGATTAGCACAACAACAGTGCATAGAGAGCTTCATGGGATTTGTTTTCCATGGCTGAGCAGCTGCATCCAAGCCTTGCATCACCAAGTGCAATGCAAGGCGTCGGATGCAGTGGTGTAAAGCACACCATCACCTGACTCTAGAGCAGTGGAGACATGTTCTCCGGAGTGATGAATCACACTTCTCTGTCTGGCAATCTTATCAATTTGTCTGGGTTTGGCAGGTGACAAGAGAACGGTACTTGTCTGACTGCACTGTGCCAAGTGTAAAGTTTGGTGGAGGGGGGATTATGGTGTGAGGTTGTTTTTCAGGGGTTGGACTTGGTCCCTTAGTTCCAGTGAAGGGAATTCTTAAGGAGTCAGCATACCAAGACAAATATTCTAGGTATCCATTACCTATAAATATGTGTGGTCCAGTAAACAAACATGACAATATGAATGCATAGACATTGCCAATCATGTGACAAAAAAAGCAATTGACCCAACACCAATATACATCACCTCACCCGAGACAATGTTGTCTGTTTCCCTTAAAATCATTAAAATAAACCACGATGTCACGGTATGCCCCTATATTCAAAAGAATAATTAGCCAGGCAGCGACTTCCACCGGTCGTTTCTCAGGCTATTTCTTAACACCACCCTATGGCTGGCTAAACTAGACACACTCTTAAACCTTGTGGACAGCCTTCCCAGAACAGTTGAAGCTGTTTTAGGGTGGGCCAACTCAATATTGAACCCTACAGTCTAAGATTGGGATGCCATTAAAGTTCATGTATGTGTAAAGGCAGGTGTCCCACCACCCAATACTGTTGGCTACACTGATCTATAGCTCTTTCAAAAATTCCCAAGATGAGGGCTCTGGTAAATTCAAAAAGATTATTAAACTAGCAAGTAAAAAAGTACAAAGTATAGATATGCCTCCCCCACTTTCCATTTTTTCCCCAGTCTGCTTCACCTGTTTGCAGGTCCACCATTCCAGTCTCACCAAGTGGTGTCATCCATGCTCAGAACACCAATGCTAAAGTGCTGTTAATATATACTATTGTAAATTGGAGCCAGGTTGGATCTAATAGACCAATTAGCAAATAGCCAATGTCTATCTCCGGCACCTACCATGTCCTAATTCCACCCAGTCAATAGGCAGGCCTTCTTCTTCCTCCCTTTGTCCCTGAATGACAAACAGCATCATTTGTTGTGCACTCACATCCTCTTCCATTGACATAATCATGCCAACCCAGTGACTCCGACACCCTCACTTTCCCCACTCCTTTCTTGAAGGGAGGGAAGAAGGGACAAGCCATGCCTGGATGAAAGTGGAGCCACCCACACCAGCACTCCACTCCTCCAGCCCTCCCACCACCGCTATGGCTAAGGGATCCGAATGTCTTCAAGGGAGAGTGTCTCTCAAAGGGAACACACCTTTAGACAAGAAAAAAGGAAAGAAAAACTTGAAACAATTCATGGAAGAACAACAGGGAGAACTGCCCAATCAGAGACAAAAATAAACTGGAACTATTTACTTTTCCAGTTCATTGCCAGATAGAAGCTATTCATGAATGCACTAAAGCTAGTCATTTCATTAAGCCCTGTGGGAGTTGTTGTAGACAGTTTGTAGATCCATTTGGATTCACTTTGTAAAATCTTTTTGTTCCAATCGCATCCCTGAGCATCTTGGCAATAAACCAAAGAAGTGAGGCATTCTAGTGTAGCTCTGACTCTGATTGGGCACTTTCCCCTATTGTTCTGACATGATTTTTCTTTTTTTCTTTCCTTTCTCTTGTCCAATTAGATTATGTATAGAGGTATTTAGATATACACATATATTTATATATATTGGGTGTAATACATGCACATGTATTTATGGTATTTAGTACTTGATATGGAATTTTAATATATTGTTGTTCTGTGCTAAACTGCGAAACTGTCGTGGTCAGGAGATGGTGGGATGATGTGCATTCGGTGCCAGATGGCTCCTTTGGATGGCTTACTCTCCCTGAAGGATGTTTGGGTTAGCTGTGGTAGATGAAGTGGGGCATCAGTCCACCCATTCAGGCATGGCTTGTGGCTTCCACCCTCACTTTGGGAAGGAGAAGTGGGGACAGTGACGATGTCAGCATTGCCGGGCTAGCATGATGACATCCTTTTGAGCCTGCATTTTGCTCTGCTGCACTGTTCCCACTTAGTTATATTTCTCTGTTCCCCTCCAATGTCCCCTTTCAGGTCCAGTGTCTATGCTCTCCTTCACTGTCTCCACTCAGCAATCATATCTTTGTTCTCTTGCACTGCCCCTACTCCTCTATTGCAGTCTTTGCAAAATACCTGGTACATCTGGGTATGGGAGAACTTGTGACCTCATCCTGTTATTGGCCAATATCACATCCTGAAGAGGATGACTTTATCAATTCAGTGTTAGCTTCAACACCATCTGACATTGAGCTTACAATCAGAGGAGCCTTTGAATGGCCCCAAATGGGAAAAGTGACATACTTTTAAGGGTCCTATGTATAAAGAAACTCCTACCGGAGTAGGCTTTGGCTTATTTTTAAACCATTTAAAAATAAGCCAAAGTATTAAGAGCTTTGAATTTTATGCATAAAAATTAAAAATAAAGTAAATTAAGGTATGTCTTTGCAGAAGTTTAAAAAGAAGGTATCATAAATTATTACTGTACATAATGCTGTTTTGTTCTGATGCTTGGTTGCTACTTTTTTGTTCACAGAAAACATAACTTACTGGAGTTTGTATGAAAACACATCTTAGCAATTTTATGTAGCAGTCCCCATTGACTTTTCATTATGACAACTGCTGGGACAGCATGATCTCTTATATTTACTTTGTCTTTGTGAGATAATGTGAATCATGATTTTGCAAGAAACAATACTTTTATACAAAAGGTTTAATTTAATTAGTGTGGCAAAAGTATAATATATGACTTATTTCCAATTCAGTCTAAGTATAATACATGGAAGACTGCTTAAGCCACTTAAAAAAACACTTCAATTATTCTTGAGCAGCAGTTTAATTTAGTGACGTCTGAATTATTTCAATCCATTACAATGCAACTGTATCATAATTTTATTTATGCAGGCAAGAAACTTACCAAACATTCACTGCTTCCTTTAAATTAATAATTCTACCCTGTGCATGAACATGATTCTGCTATAGAATTATTTATGATCACCTTTTTAAATATTTTGCATTTTTGCTTATTTTGATATAAAGTCTTAAGAAAGTGTGGTTGTTTTATAAAACTAATTTATTTTAAGTGTTTTCCATTAAATTCAAAGCAAACTAGTGAGCACTGGATGAGTAAAATTTCAATAAGGACACCTGAGAGCATATTCTAAAATAAAATACACTATAAAAGTAGCATAACCACTGAAGCCTTGACCAAAGCAACTAGTCAGTAATTTTGTTTCACTTTTTGTGTTGCACTAGAAAAGTGGCATTTAGACTTTGGGGTTTATTTTATGCTGTCTGTAAAAATAATAGACCAGTTCTTGAAAGTATTACTGTATCTAGCCGTTATCCTGACCAGAATGTATCATACCCGCTATCATGCTAATTACCTCCCAATGTTATCAATTACATGGGCCACACTGTGTATTTCCTAGTTTGGGAGAATTGCAGTGATTAAAATGATGCTATTGCACAAAATTCATGTGGGCTGAGACTGGAGATATGACCTTTGCGCACTTCAACCACTGTGTAAGTGTCAGGAATGGACTTGCCAATAATGGTGGGACTCACCTGCCTTGTGGGCTGAAGTACCAGGGCTGGCCAGCGGGTGCTCTCAGCAATCAGAGACTCCGCCCTGCAATCAGCCAAACACCTGAAGCTGATTGCAGGGGTTGTATTTAAGGAATGGCCAGACTCACAGTCAGGGCCTTGGTGTGTGTTTTTTCCATGGGCCCCTATACCTTGTATCCTGTATTCCTGTTCCTGTCTGACTTGTTGCCGACCCTGCCTGATCCTGACCTCTGCTGACTTCTCCTGCTTGATCCCTGGCTTGTGACCCTGACCATTCTCTGCCCGACCCTCTGTACCGCGCTGCTCGTGAGTTACTGAACCCAGCTTGTGACCCCGACCACTCTCCCGCCTGTTCCTGGTACTCCGTTTGCCCGTTTGCTACTGACCCGGCCTGCCTGACTACTCTTTGTATTGTATGTATTGTTATCGGTGGGTGGTTTGGTTTGTTTGCACTGTGTTTATGTTTAGTTTTGCACTGCGTTTTGTATTGTTAGTCTCAATAAATTATATTGTTTATACCATATCCGAAGCCTGCATTTCCCTGTGTCAGTCCACACACCTCTGGTCATACCTGGAGACCTGACAGTAAGTTACAAAAAGTTGCCACAGACAATAGCAATATAGTCACTACAGCCATTACTGACTTAAAGACTGACATCCAGGCTATTGCCACGTGGATCACAGAAAGTGGAGCAAACAGCTTACCTCTACACTGATGCCATTCACCTGGTATAATGCTCTTACGATGCCCAATTATCACATGGCATATCAAAGATCGCGACAACCGGGGTAGATGCCATAATATGTGGGTGCGAGGGATACTGGATTCGGGGGAGGCTGAAGCCCTTCAGCTGGCACTTTTCACTATCCTTAGTGAGCTTCTTGACTGTCCTCCAGACACCCCTATATATCACCGAGCTCTACTTGTTCGGCCTCGTTATTCTGAACCCCCGAGAGATGCCATATGCTGCTTAGTAAACTTTCCACTAAAGGAAGAAATAATGCGTAAGGCAAGGGAGAGAGGCCATTACATATAATGATACTGAAATTAAGCTCTTTCAAGATCTCTCACAGCTCACCCTCCAGAACCGCAGGGCTTTGCGCACCCTGCTGGATGTCCTCCGGGATAGAGGCATTCTCAATCACTGGAAACTCCCATTTTGCCTCTCAGCTACCTGCAGGGGTCACACAGCTCTCGTATGCATCCCAGAAGATCTGCAAGCCTTTTGTAACCAACTTGATATTTCTTCCGATGGAATTGTCAGAGTGGTATGTTATAAGCTATGTTGCTTCCACATGTTTATATTCAAGTGGCTGACCTTTTTTAGCCCACTGCCTTTGAACTTATGTTAGTCCCTACAGACATAAAGCCTTTACCTTTTTTCTTTCTCCTGGATATGCTAATGTCAATATGACATAGATGAAGACTGACTTTTGGACTTCATTCTCCTAATATATACCTAAGAACTACCACAATGCCTTTTGTACCCTAGGGAGGAGTGCTGTATCGCCTTTGT